ACACCTGGGCATCCAACCCCCACCGCGCTAACATCGCACCATCACACTATTGGCTTGTTTCTTGTCCCAACCCCCAACAGTGTCCCATGGTGTCCCCTCATGACCGGAGAAGGACCAGGGGCTGGAGCGGGGCAGGGCACGTACTGCAGCAGGGCTTTGGTTTTTCGCGTGGGGTCATCGGGCCGGAAGTTCTTGTACTCCTCCACCTCCTTCTCCAGGGACAGCACCTGGCTCTGCAGCTTGCTGCGCAGGGCCGGCAGCGACTCCCGGATGTGGTTGGTCAGTTGCTGCAGGAGAAAGCCAGTGGTGAGTGGACGCGGGATGCCGGGTTGGGGCAGAATGCGCCCCAGGCTCCTCCAAGCACAGCAGCATACCACTGCAAACTCGAGAGGACGTGCCAGAACTGCCTGACCCAGAACATGGGGGCGTGCCAGTGAAGGGAAGGCCGAGGGTCCAGCACTGTCCTCAGAGCGAGACCTGCGCTGCTCTGGTTCGGGGCTGGGGCCCAGGGGAGTGACCACCCAGACACTGCCACAGGAGGCCCCAACTCACAGCGACCCGGCACCAAACAGCAGGTAACACCGCCCGCCTACTCCTGCTCCATCCCCGGGGCTCTGGAAGGCTGCTTTCCAGCAGTGGATTAGCAGGCTTAGTCCAGAGCTCCCCTGGGAACTGCTCAGCGTCAGAGGCGCACGTGGCATCCCCTGACAGGGGGGTGCTGGCTGCAGAGGAGGTGCCCGGGATGGGGGTAGAACCCGGGGCTCCTGCAGGGAAGGAGCAGCCTCTACCACTGAACCCCCGCGGCTACCACTGGGTACAGGAGTACAGAAAGACCCTACGATGTGGCCTGGGAGACCCCCACTGCTGTCAAGCCCATTCTCTGAGACTGTACATCTTTATGGCAACGGGCTCATCGTTCTCCTGAGACGCTGCTAGTGGGTTAGTGGCCTGCTGCACGGTCCCACAAAGGCTCTTTCTGTAGCCAAGAGTCGGCAGGATATATGGTGCTGCTAAAGTTGTGAAAAGCAAAACTTGGTGGGGGCAGGAAAAAGAAGGACGCGGAGGGGAGGCCGACAGGAGGCTGGCTACCGGGTCTTCCGGGACGGATGATGACGTGGCTACATGAAAGATCAGGAAGTGCTCCTGGCAGGGCCAGGACTCCTTGGACTGTGATGAAACAAGCAAGGGCGGGACCACAGGAGGGGACACGAAGGACGCGTTTCCTGTGGTCCCCTCAGAGTCATGACTGCTGCCAGGATGGTGCGGGACCCACTGACTGCTGGGAGGTGTCGGCACCCAGTCCCTGACGCCTTTCACACACACAGGAGGGGCACGCTAAGCTGAGCAGAGCTCTAACTTGGCAGACACCACCCATGGGTGCTGGGAAGCTCTGGATGGCTAGGCCTCACTCAGAATCCAAGCTGAGCTTCGACCCCACCCCACCCCCAAAGGTCAGCCTCTGAGACTCCCCTGCTTAGCTGCTGTCTGGTGCAGCCAGTTGCCCTGCCTGGCTGTGGGGCCTGATATTCTTAAGCCTGATCACCAGCCCCAGGAACTGCCCGTAAACTTCCGGGTGGTGTGTGATTGATCATTCCAATCATCCTGAGACCAATGATGGCACTGACAGTGGTAAGGATAGTGAGTGGGACACCTCCTCTCTGCCAGGCCCGGGTGACATGGGCACCACGCTGGGGGCTTGACCCCACGAGGCTGGACAAGCGCAGCTCTAGACCAGGGCGTGGAGGAGCTCGGCTGACCCCCGTACCTGATTCAGCGCCTTCTGTAGGTGGGGGGTACCCATGCGGTCCGCCATGTGTCGGTAGGCCGGGTGGGAGAGGAAGAACTTCCTCTCGGCTGCCATGGCCGCTCGGATGTCCTTCCTGCCCTCGATGTCCTTCTGGCTGCGGTTCACCACGCCGATGTACCCTATGG